AGTGTGTGTGTGTGTGTATATATATATAGTGTGTGTGTGTGTGTGTGACGCGTGTCTCTGCGCAGGACTCCGTGGAAGCGCTGCTGTTTCTCCGGTGACGGTGAGTATATCGTGGCAGGATCGGCGCGGCAGCATGCGCTCTACATCTGGGAGAAGAGCATCGGGAACCTGGTGAAGATCCTCCACGGGACGCGAGGAGAGCTGCTGCTGGACGTCGCCGTACGCTCTTATCATCAGTTTATATACTAGCATATTCTTCATTTTTATGTTCATGTTTTTATTTAAAAAATAATTTTATTGTTCCAGTGGTGTGTGTTTTTGTCATCTCTATTAGTTTTACTTGTTTTTTTTTTGTTTGTTTTTTAAATATATCTATATATATTTATTTATATATGTATTTTATAGTTTTTCATTATTTCAGCTTCAGTTTTAGTTATTTATATGGTAATTGCAACTTTTTATCTCGCAATCCTAACTTTCTAAATTCAGATTGACAAGAAAAATCCAAATAGTTTCTTATTTGATTATAAACGTATTGTAATTTTTTTATTTTAATGAATTTCTTTAAAATATATATAATGTATATAAATGATGGTGCCAAACTAATCATTTTTATTTAGTAATAACATTATTAATGTTATTGTTATTTCTGCAAGTCTCATTAAAATACATAAGATAACAGTAGAAATACGAAACAATGATGCCAAACTATTTATTTGTATTCTTTTTTTGTTCATTATAATATTTTTTAAATCTCATTTAAATATATAATATAAACAATGATAATAAACAATGATGCTGTTTATTATTACATATTTTTACAAATTCAGATTTATTTATTTGTACTAATATTATTATAATAAGTTAAATTTTTTAAAAAGTCTGAATTGTGGGATAAAAAAAAAATGCAATTACCTTTTTTTATGTTTTTATTCCATGACATAATTGTAGTGCTTGACCTTAAACTTGAGAAAATTATAAATGTTGCCTTAGCCTCTAAATGAAATGTTTCTGAGTATATGTTATTTCAGTTAGTCTTTATTTTAAGGAGCATGTTTTTAGTTCAGTGACTGGTGTGTTTGCAGTGGCATCCGGTGCGTCCGATCATCGCCTCCATCTCCAGCGGCGTGGTGTCCATCTGGGCTCAGAACCAAGTGGTGAGTGAATCGGCTCAGTTCAGCTCAGAGCCGCCTCTCGTCTTGCTGTGAGTGTAGACTGTGTGTGTCTCTGCAGGAGAACTGGAGCGCGTTTGCGCCGGACTTTAAAGAGCTGGACGAGAACGTGGAGTACGAGGAGAGAGAATCTGAGTTTGACATCGAGGACGAGGACAAGAGCGAGCCGGAGCAGACTGGTAAACACACACACACTCACACTCTCTCTCTC